TGTTTTATAGATCCTATCGTGATCAAGAGTCCAAAAGAGGTCTAGACCAAGAGGAGACTTTTGAGAAACCAACAAGGGATCAAGTGACAGGTACAACCTCATCCCATCCCAACCCACCMCTATCGTACTTCATAATSCAAGSTCCACCTTAAAGTGCGCATTACGCCTTTTAGACACGCTGGCAAGCATTTCTGTGAAGAAATAAATAGATTTTGAATTGTATTTTCCGAGTTATAGACATTTGAAAATTGAAAAATGCAATTAAAGTAATGTCAACTAAGGAATTGGTCCAGACATTTTACATTGTTTGTGTTATGTTSTYGGTTGAAGAGATCAAATCATCTATYATTATAGTAATAATTTAGAGCTGAAAATACTTTTTTTCAATCCAGCAAAAATAGTGACGTACCCTTACATGATTTTGTATATTAAATCATTCCTTGGCAGACGTCWCTTCATTTGCATTTTCTAAGTTTCAATTTCTTTCTTCACAGATGTACTTTATTTTCTCTTTTGAATGAGAATGTTTTTTTTTAATGGTGTCATGTGCACTTAAATCAATGAAAAGAATCAAGCAAGAGATCATTATCTCCCTCCCCTCCCTGAAGTTTTTATTCTTGTTACCTTACCTACACCTATTTGATGCAGTTTTCCCATTTTTCTCATTCCAGGAATGCGCAATGCAGTTTATGACAARCTTGATGATGATGGTCTAGTTGCACCAGGAACTCGAGTTAGCGGTGATGATGTCATTGTTGGAAAGACAACGACTCTACCTGACAATGATGATGAGGTTAGTGCATGGCGGGGCACTATAATTAGAATTTGAAAGAATTTTCACGCCTTTGGCTCGATTCTTTTACCTGTAAAACGCTCTCTCTTGTTTTTTAATGGGAACGCAAACTGTGAATATTTATCTCAGATTTAAATATTGTGTGTTTTCTGATAGTTGGAAGGTTCGACAAAAAGATATTCAAAGAAAGATTCAAGTACTTTCTTGCGTCCTAGTGAAACTGGAATAGTTGACCAGGTAAACTTTCAGAATAATCAGTGTCTGGCCAGCTGATTGACTTAAACGGCAAAGTTTACTCTTTGACTTAGACGATAACATTGTCTGATTTACTGATGGACTTAAACGTTAAAGTGTCTACCAACTGACTTACTAAAGATGACTTGTCTGGGCAGCTGTTTGACTTAGACGGCAAAATGTCTGGTTTACTGAACGATTAAGACAGGAAAATGTCTAGCTAACAGTTCGACTTAGACTGAAAAGTGCTTGTTAAGTTATTTACTTAGACGGACAAGTGTTTGGCTAAAGTGATTTTGACGGCAAAATGTCTGATTAACTGATTGACTTTCATGATATTTTTAATTAATAATTAATCAAACTATGAAAAAATACTATAATATATGGCTTCTAAATTGAGATTCTTTTTAAAAACAAATTCGTGAAAAGTGTTCATTATACCGTATTGTGAGTTTTGTCCATATTTTTCATTTAGGTTATGGTCACAATCAACCAAGAAGGTTACAAGTTTACAAAGATTAAGGTATCCTATTATTGTACATATTATTGGCAAAACGAGTTCAATACTGAACCTTATGGCATCACAAGTTTTTATTGGTTTTATACTTTTAAATTATTCAAGCATTTATAAAGATTAAAATAATCTGTTTGCGTATAGGTGCGTTCTGTTAGAGTCCCACAAATTGGAGACAAGTTTGCCAGTCGTCATGGTCAAAAAGGAACATGTGGAATTACATACAGACAAGAGGTAAAATGAAATTTCTTTCACATGAACGCTGCTTTAGTTTTTTTTTCCAGAACGAGTCCCTTTTAGATTATTATTTATAATTTGTTTTTATCATAAAATTATCTCTGAAATATCTACATTTCTCCATTTCGTAAAAATATAACACATTCGTGAAAATAACACATTCGAGGATTCTCTACATGGTGGAAGTAAGAAAAAAGGTGTTTTACGACATAATTTCATATATAATTAGATAAGCAGAATACTACATGCTCACTTGGAGATATGAATTTTATCTTCTCGTGTTGAAAATCACTATGATCACTCGCTCACTCTCTTTTCAACACTCGAAGATAAAATACGTTTCTCCGCGCGCCCATGTAATATCTTCTATATTTTCACTTGAAAATAATATGACATTCGATGTTTCTACATAATCGAAGTAAATACTTTTGCTTTCAAATATAATTATATGATAAACAGAATATTACATGATCACTTGGAGATACGAGTGAGCGTACGTATATCCGCGCGCTCATRTAATATCCTCTATATATCATAATTTCGATTTCCATATTTTAAAAAGTATAAAGGGGGATTGATAACCATTCTATTGACCATTKTATTAAATGGTGTCGTTTTTTTGTAGGACATGCCGTTCACTTGTGAAGGCTTATCACCTGATGTCATCATTAATCCCCATGCTATTCCTAGTCGTATGACTATTGGTCACTTGATTGAATGTCTCCAGGGCAAGGTTAGTAAATAAATAAATATACTTTGCAGTTTTCCTTTCACTGTTTTACGGGCTACTATTTCAAAACGATTTAGTGTTTCAATAGGTTTTGCACCACGAGAAAACATACTTCACGCTTAACAATAAACTTGTATTACATTGTATTTTGTAAAAGCGAAGACATTAATTTAAAGTGAATCCAATGAAGCACGAGAGTGAGTTATTGTAGTGTTTCTGATAGCATTAAAAACCTGCTTTTCGGGTGTTCATGTGAGTTCACGGCAGCCATGTTGGTGATACGTTATCTAATTGTTTCTCATAAGTTCATTTAACTACTATTCTCACCAACAACGATCACTGGTCTTGTTTCATTTGAACATCAATATGACATGGGTGTTATCATGTTCTATGGGTCCTGTACCTATTAGTTAACTGCGGTCATTTTTATCCTACAGGTATCAGCGAACAAGGGCGAAATAGGTGACGCTACACCTTTTAACGATGCTGTCAACGTACAGAAAATATCCCAGCTACTTAACGACTATGGTTATCATCTTAGAGGGAACGAGGTAAGTATTGATGACAATGACGACGACGACGATGATGATGATGATAGTGATGATGATGATGATAACGATGATAATGAAGATAAATCAATTCATATAATTGCCCTATCGCATAATTACGTCACACCTATTCAAAATTCTATTGTTTTAACGCTAAGGATTATGGTCGCCAGAGGGGATCAGAGTGACTGAATATCAAATAGAATGTAGATGAGCTATCATTGATAAATGATACACATCAAAACTCGATACACTAAAGTTCTACTTTCGGAAGAATATTAATAGGTCCAAATTTCGAGTCTTTCTAAGCATCTATCCACAATGTAAACACACTGTTACGTCATTATGCAATAGGGCAATTATCTATGAAATACCTATATGACTCATATGGATACATCCTTAAGTCAAATTGTAAAGCTTACGTTAAGGGATTATAAAGGTGGTGGGTGGTGCTAATCACCCTTCTTGGCGGCGCGGGTGCTGAATTTCAAAGGAACCTCACSCTCACTTTGTTTTATTACTATTATAGGTATTGTATAGCGGATTTTCTGGACGTAAACTCAACACTCAGGTTTTCCTTGGGCCGACGTATTACCAACGACTTAAGCACATGGTTGACGACAAGATCCACTCTCGTGCTCGTGGTCCATTACAGATCCTTACCAGACAGCCTATGGAAGGACGATCACGGTAATTACATGAAAGACTTTGTCAATTTGCTAGTATTTTTCGTTTTCATGTTACGTCACAGCGGCCATCTTGGAGGAACTTTAACATTAGTAATTAATTTAGCCAACTAAACTATATACAAAAACCTTTTCGCATATATTTGCCTTTCACGTGTACGATGAACTAGCATTTTGTTGTTTAGGCATACACTTGCGCACTATGATATGAAGGATTATTGATGGAGACTGAGTATTATATAAGAATTATTGGTTGTGATTAAGTATGATATAAAGAATTATTGGTTGAGACTGAGTATGATATGAAAAATTAATGGTTGAGACTGAGCATGATATGAAGAATTATTGGTTGAGTTTGAGTATGATAAGAAGAATGATTGGTTGAGACTGAGTATGATATGAAGAATTATTGATTGAGACTGAGTATGATATGAAGAATTATTGATTGAGACTGAGTATGATATGAAGAATTATTGGTTGAGACTGACTATGATAAGAAGAATGATTGGTTGAGACTGAGTATGATATGAAGAATTATTGGTTGAGTTTGAGTATGATA